CTAGGTCAGCGGGCGTGGCCATTCTATCACCAGAGCAGTTACATCAAGCTGCAGCTCATTGGCACCAATCAAGCAGCAGATATCTACCCGGGCTGGACACCTCTCCAGCGCCAGTTCGTTCCTACACTTCCAGTGGTAACTTGGCCCGTACAGCACTCTCAGTATAGTTGTACTCTCTCAGTATTATTGTTGTTCCTGCCACGTTTTGTAACCTGTCTCTCCTTCGACCAGATCTCGTCTGTTCCTGCTGCCTGCCTGCCTGCCTGCCATTCCCACGCCGCTACCTGCTCCTCTGTTGCCTGATATCCTCGTTATCCAGCTCTCAGGACTACTGGCTCTCCACCCCACTCAGCTCCTACCCCAGCCTGAAGCTATTCCACCCTGACTACTTCTCTCTGCCAATACACGTTGAATAAACTACATCCTAATTTTACTCTCTTTGTCTGTGTGTCCGTCTCTGCACCTGAGTCCACCACCCAACCTAATAAGCCCAGATAGGTTCCCAATCTCCCAACCTCATAACTAGTTACCAACAGTGGTGTAAAGTACTTAAGTAAAAATACTTTAAAGTACTACTTAAATAGTTTTTGGGGTATCTGTACTTTACTTTACTATTTATATTTTTGACAACTTTTACTTTTACTTCACTACATTCCTAAATAAAATAATGTACTTTTTACTAGATACATTTTCCCTGACACCCAAAAGTACTTGTTACATTTTGACAGGAAAAGGGTCCAATTCACGCACTTATCAAGACAACATCCCTGGTCATCCCTACTGCTTCTGATCTGGCGGAATCACTAAACGCATGCTTCGTTTGTAAATGATATCCGAGTGTTGGAGCGTGCCCCTGGCTATCCGTAAATATATTTTTAAAAACAAGAAAATGGTGCAGTCTGGTTTGCTTAATTTAAGGAATTTGAAATTATTTATACTTTTACTTTTGATACTTAAGTATATTTTAGCAATTACATTTACTTTTGATACTTAAGTATATTTAAAACCAAACACTTTTAGACATTTACTCAAGTAGTATTTTACTGGGTGACTTTCACTTTTACCTGAGTCATTTTCTATTAAGGTATCTTTACTTTTACTCAAGTATGACTTTTGAGTACTTTTTCCACCACTGGCTACCTAGAAGCCATTTCAGGCTGTCAATCAAATTAGAGGAGCTAGCTTGTCTAACTATCTTAGCTGGCATGCCTGCTGGCAAGGTTGGTAGACTTTGGAAAAGCAAGCAATAACTAAATGTGCTAAATAAGACTTGCATTCCTTTCAATCTTTTACCCAGATTTTACCAGAGATGCAGAGAAGCAGATTTTGTTTATTTAAAAAAAGAACCACCAGTCATCATTCACCATTCAGTTACTATTGGGCAAAACATAAACCAAAACAAACTGCAAATGCATCCAATGACTTTGTAGAGAAACGAGCTTGGTGTAGTCATTGTGCGCAAGGAATATGGGACCAAATACTACACTTTTGACTACTTTAATACCCTAAGTGAATTTGTCCAAATACTTCTTCACATGGGGGACTAGATACATAAAGTGCTATAATTTCTAAACGGTAAAACAGATGTGTGAAAATATCCTCAAATAAAAGGTGACATTCTGGACTGTTGCCTCATATGAAACATTTGATCTCGAATCCAAAATGCTGGAGAATAGAGTCCCCCCTCCCAAAAAAAAACACTGTCCAAATACATATGGAGGGGAGCGTATTTTCAACAACCTCAGTCCTCAAACCAAGGTTTACACATTGTTTGTATGAACTGTTTGACCAATAATTATCCCGAGTGGCGCAGTGGTCTAAGGCACTGCATCGCAGTGCTAGCTGTGCCACTAAAGATCCTGGTTCGAATCCAGGCTCTGTCGTAGCCGGCCGCGACCGGGAGATTCATGAGTCTCAATTCGGACTCTCCTGAGTGGCGCAGTGGTCTAAGGCACTGCATCGCAGTGCTAGCTGTGCCACTAGAGATCCTGGTTCGAATCTAGGCTCTGTCGTAGCAGGCCGTGACCGGGAGACCCATGGGGCGGCGCGCAATTGGCCCAGCGTCGTCCAGGGTAGGGGAGGGAATGGCCGGCAGGGATGTAGCTCAGTTGATAGAGCATGGCGTTTGCAACGCCAGGGTTGTGGGTTCGATTCCCACAGGGGGTATGAAAAAAATAAATAATGTAAGTCGCTCTGGATAAGAGCGTCTGCTAAATGACGTAAATGTAAATGTAAACAATTGGCCCAGCGTCGTCCAGGGTAGGGGAGGGAATGGCCGGCAGGGATGTTGCTCAGTTGGTAGAGCATGGCGTTTGCAACGCCAGGGTTGTGGGTTCGATTCCCACGGGGGGCTAGTATGAAAATAAAACAATAAAAACAAACAAAAACACAATTTATAATGTATGCACTCACTAACTGTAAGTCGCTCTGGATAAGAGCGTCTGCTAAATGACTAAAATGTAATGTAATAGAATAGATAGAAAATGTACTGAATTCATACACATACAATACATGGCACAAAACACCCTTTCTAAACGTCATGCTAATGACCATGACATACAGGTACACAAATGTAACCCTGTAGTTTCTTTATTTGGGGTAATGCTAAGAGAGGAGAAACTCATGTTGTTTGTCTTTGAGTGCACTTACCTCGTCCCCAGACCAATTTCCCACAGACATTGTCGGTTGAACGTACTAGGGCACTGAAGTTGTCTTATTACTTTACTTGCTACTATGGGTTATGTTTACTTTCTCTGTTCATCTGATTTGACTGCCCCCAAACCCTCTCATGACAACTGATAGTTCGTAGAAAAAACCAGCAGTGGTGATTAGCTGTGTCCATGTGGATCTGACTTGTCGGGGGCAATCTGTCAGGTCTAGAGACGAGGGGTTAGAACATCTACAGGTGTATGGTGCTGAGTCTCCAGGGCACAGCATTACATCTGCTGTGTTCAAGGCTGCTCCACATGAATCTTACATGAAACCGTACAAGTGCACTTTAAAGTCAAGGGACATGACAATATGTACTCTCTTGCAGAATCCATATGCTGATGCTGCTCACAATTAAGACAGTGTGTACATGCATTCTGTATATAATGGGAAGTGGGTGGACTGAGAAATCTAAGCATGTGTGAATACAGTGATTGGTGTCAGTTGTCATGTGAAATTCAAAGCTAATGTTGCTCAGAACTTCTGATTATACTGCATCCCCTAAAGCCCTGTTGTGTCTGCCTGGGCCAGGGCAGATTAACTGAGAGAGAGCAGCAGGAGATGATGCTGAGACGCCCCTGGCATTACAGTCAATCTAGGAAAATTATTTTACATTATATTATTTACTAATTTGTCAGTCTCCCTTTGGAAGGCCTACCTCAAACCCTATTCAGACTTCTCAATGCATTATTCATATTGAGCCATTTCCTCAGAGAGGAATTCTGTTTGAAGTTATTAAACTCGGTATGAAATAGCCTCCAGCATCCTAACTTTTCAATCTCATCTGTGAACCTCCGGACCTTTACCCTTCTACTCTGCTCTATAGATGGAGTGAGTTAGATAGCTTTAGGACATCATGTGGGATAGTTGTAGAATATAGAATAAGCTTTTAAGCAAAATGATCATGAATTACATAACAGGAAATCATTGTTCTGAAATTCAATATTTTATTACACAGAAAAAATGACCTCACTGGTTTTGAATACATTCTGTACATTCTATACATTAGTTGAAGATACTCAGCAAGCACATACTTAATAAACAAATATCTGGATTGGTTATGAAATTAGACCCTGGTGGATTCACAGAGATGCTCATTCCTAGTACCTCTGTAAGAATGGCGACACCACAATAGTGACACCATCAAAATTCCCCATATAACAACAGCCAAAGGTAACATCAAAAGTTCAATGTTCACTCGCTGGTTCCTGGTTGCCCAATGGTAGGTCAACCATGCTGAGTTTATAGGCACAATCTGTCAGATTTGCTGATTTCCAATGGTCATTCATTTCAATTAATGACATAAATTACAATAATGCCTTATGAGCTTAGTACAGCTGTCTTACACTATCATAACCCAATATCTAAGGTTGTTACTCTTTTTTTGTAAACAATGTAAAGCTTAAAAAATATCAGCTCCATCCATCAGCTCAAGTAGCAGGGTACGGCTGTTGAAATCCCATATTGTGCCTTTAAGAGTCCACAGGACATGCTGTCCATTATTTTTGCTTCGAAAACTCTTCGCATGATCTCTGTGTAAGCAAGTAAACCAAGTCATCCGTTCTTCCCCAGTCAGAGGTTTTCCTCTTTGCCAATACGTTTTGCCATTGTGTCATTAATTCATCCATAATACACATTTTTATCAATCAGCATGTTATATTGACCAATATAACACATAAAATACAAATTTCAGTTAAAATCTGAGCCATTGATCTTTTAACTTATGAAATATGTAAGTGTATCCCTTCTGCTAAAGATTGCATTTTTCTGATTCTGTTAATTAAGCAAAGCAGTAAAGTGTTGGCATTATCTTCACTGTAGTCTCGTGAGCCATACTCAAAGTATTGCACCAACTGTAGCTAGCTACAGTATATGAAAGGATGCCAAAGGTCCTGGTCAGTTGGAATAGAGCACATGAAAAATCTAATGGAACTTTGTTTCACAGATCAATTGCTCAGCTTCTCTCTGATCCTTTGAGTAAAGTAGAAAGCATTTCTGATGATTAGAGCTGAGCTTGCTGTCCATCTGTTGATAGTGGTTTCGATTGGTGGAGAAGGAGAGAAAGTCACAGTATTCAGGGGCCTTCAGGGTCCATGCTGCTCAGTTATTTGACGGCCCTTGCTATCCGGGTCCTTGGGATGTCCAACTCTGATGTCACCCCATTGAAGTTGAAATTTAAAATGGTAAGGGATAGAGTTAGGGTTTAGGGTAGGGACGTCCCATGGACCCTGGATAGCACTAACCGTTCTTTGACAGATGCTTTTGCCCTTCTCTTCCCTCACAGGCATTGGTCAGACGGGCGTGGGGGAGGGCGGGAAGGGGGGGGAGCTCTGCATGGGGGTGGGACCTGAGGGGGTGGGGGCAGAGAGCCAGTTGGGGAAGGGGGTGTGGCGGGGCAAAAAGGGTGGAGGGGTGGCAGGGCAAAAGAGGGGAGGGGTGGGTGGAGCAACAGGTGGGGGAGGACTTAGAGAAGTGGGGGGCAGAGCTCGGTTTGGAGGGGGGGTGTAAGGGGGAGGGGTGATGCAGGATGGAGGGGGGGGAGTGGATGGCAGAGGTGGTAGAGTGGAGGTGGGAGAGGGGGGCATATGGGAGAGGGTGCTGTGTGAGGAAGGGTGACTGTAGGTGTGAGGCAGACTGTAGATGGCCGTGGAGGGCTGGTTGTAGACTGGATAACGAGGAGCAGGGTAGCCTTTCACCCGGGTGAAGCTAATGCACCTGCCCTGTAAGTTAGGAGAGAGGGATACAACAGGGAAGAGTGCAATCAGAGGCAGTCATCAGGGTTTTACTGATGCGTTGGTGTATATTGAATTATTTTATAACGTTTCCATGCAAAGTGGATTTATAGATCTTAGCGTCTCCATTCAAATAGGATCGGAAGGGAATACGACCAATCTCTCATTTTCCTTTCTGAATAATGTGCTGACTCCATCTTGTCTTCTGCTTACCTATAAATGTCAAATTCAGTCAAAACAACAAGGAGATTTACTGAGGTAGCAACAGCTTCTGGAAGATGGGAAGAGGGGGAATTGTGTGGATGGTTTGCCCCATCCTCCTATCCACATCTGTCATTGAGACCATATAAAAACAAAACTCCCAGCTAGGCTAGAGTTACAGGAAGGTGGGGATGTGGGTAGTCATCTAACCTTAATGGCTTCAGCAGATTTGAACACATTCCTTCAGGTTGGAGCAATACAGTATTAGCGCCTCAGCCTGTATATGCCAGGTTACTTTGTGCCTTTCTCACAGCCACTCTGTCTGTGCACTGTTATAATGACTAACAGCTGCAACTTTTCTGCTCTATTATTTACTGCCTGGCTGGAAATGGTTTAAAAGATTATGTTTTAAGATTATTTAATTAAGAAATGGTCATTCAAAAGCAGTTTTAATGAATTTAGGGATTTAATTGGCGTTCAAAACTGCCAAAGTGATGAGTGTGTAGGGAGGTAATGAAAATGCCCACTCTCCTCAGCTGCCTGGTGGAATAGTTTAGATGAAAAAAAAAAAGATTTGAAAGGTTCTGGAAGAATCATCGCGATGTACAAAAAGAGAATAAAAAAGGAAGATGGTAGACTGAAGCCTCCCCTCTCTCTATTTTCCATGCTGTCTGCTTTGCTCCGCAGGCTGTGGTCTTGGCTTGGCCTTCCTATTTCCCTCACTTTTCCAGGAGTTTGAGTTATTTCTCTTAAGGATTTGCAACGGAGTGGGTCTTGGCATTACGCAGTGTGGTCTCTGCCTCCTTAAAGGGGCAGTCTGCAGTTTTTGTCTTATAAATGTTTTATGTACCCATTGATTCTTGAAGAAAATAAATGCCTCATGAGCTTAGTTCTGTCGTACCCCATCAGAACCCAAAATATAAGCTTGTTTTACTCCTATGTTTGTAAACAATGTAAATGTAAACAAACACTATATAGCCTCAAAACATGGTTAAAACTATAATGTTGATATTATGGATAGTCAGGACTTGAATCCATAGCTCTGTCTATGAATTTGAGAGTGGTTACACTTCTCCATCCCCATCCCTCAGCTTTTTACCGAAGCAGGGGCGGGGAAACACTTTTACATTTGTTCAACTGCTGATTGCCGTTTTAACTGTTTCCTCTGATTGTATTTTTTCTGCTTCTCTTGCATAACAGCATAACGAAGTGCTGGGCCAGTGGGCCTTATGATCCCATAGAAGAGCTCTGAAAGAAAATCCCCTGTAAACTATCCTTCTCTGCCCTATAGGTAAGCCTCAGTCACACACTGGCTTTCTTATTGAGTTGCTAAAACGGCCTTCCATGACTCTGCATATCCTTGCGTCCGCCCATACAGTGCAGTGACAGCAGGTAGCATGTGTTGGACGTGTCTTTCTCTATGCTGTTTGTCTTCACGTCTTACCTTGTCTCCAGGATGGGGTCTCATCACAGACACCCTATCATAGCCTTTCCTCAGGAACACCCACAGAGCATCCAGCTTGCCCTGAACAAAGACATGCACAGTAAAGGGAAGATAATAATATTACATAATAGATGTAGAACATGATAATTCCAATAATATTGCCTGGCTGCCTGCCTGGTTGTCTGTCAGTTGCTTTACTCTGCTTTGTTTCTATACTGTATATGGTATAGTATACAGGTCTGTTGATCAGTCGGACTGTCTGTCTGCCTGGTGCACTTTGTTCATGGAAAGCTATGTCCCTCGACATCATAATAGTCAGAGAGAAGGGTAGGTGTCTGTTTCTGTCTGTCTGGTGCTCTTTGTCCATGCAAAGCTGTGTCCCTCCACGTCATAACAGCCAGGGAGAAGGGTAGGTAGAGATAAAGGGGAAGGAATGTATTGTGTTGGGATTAGCACCAGCTCCCCTCTTCTCTGCAGATTTTGTGTTCCCGAGGTCGGCTCAGTTCATGTCTGGTTCATATTACGGCTCATCCAGCTGACTGAGACGTTATGAAACAAAGTTCCTGGAAATGTTGACGTTACAGGAACACTGCAACTAACTAAGAATTGTTTTGATCATAGACTGTTTTATTTTTTATGGAATTTAGAGTGCATATGATTGCGTGTGTATGGTACTGCAATTTTGTTCTTGTTATTGCCCCACTCAATTAGAAGAAATTCGAACTTGTATGGTATACCATTACATGTTTTTGATATTTTCCATGGAGTGTATAGTGCACTTGTATTTCGATAGGAAGGTACTGTAATTTTGTTGTTGTTATTCCCCTACTCAACTAGAAATTGTACCTTTTTATGGTATCCACCTTATGCAGCCTGGCAACAAGGGCATATCCAATTTGTTGCTGTTGTTTTTCAACTTCCGCCGCATTGACACCGCTGGGGATGGTCAATATAAATGAAATTTATTAAAACTATTAAATAATCCACACAGAATTGGAAAGATATGGGAATGATCTGGTGAGGAAAATGATTGAAAAATGTTAACTTTTGTTTTCATGTAGTATAAGCACTCAGAAGCTGACGTTAGCATAAGGAAAAGGCAATAGGGACACTCCTGACCTGCAAACCAATATTTCATTTCAGAATTGGTTAAAATTAGGTCAGGGTTTTGGTTAAGGTAAGAGTCAGTTTTAGATTTGGTTAGTCTTTTTGCAGGTCAGCAGTGTCCTTATAGACTCTCTTAGCATATTTAGCATTCCCCATAGTCATGGCAGGTTAACGTTAGCTTTGTGGCACAACAGTTTGCAAATATCCTAATGTTATCTACATAAAACATTTCTGCATTGTTTCTGTCATTTGTCAATGTTATTCTGTGTCCAACAACATTGTCTTTTCAAGTATTGCTCTTTGATTGAAAATGGAAATAGCCTTTGTGGATAACGACCATTAGATACAGTCTAATTACGCTAGCTAACCATCTATGTTGAGTCTATGGGAATGCTTACGTCGGCATCCTACGACATGAAAATAAATGTTCTCATCAGATAATTAACATATCGTTTAGATTTTCTGCACTTTATTTAATAATTTTGACTAATGTAATTTATACACTACATGACAAAAAGTATGTGGACACCTGCTCATCAAACATCTCATTCCAAAATCATGGGCATTAATATAGAGTTGGTCCCCCCCTTTGTTATAGCAGCAGTCTCCACTCTTCTGGGAAGGCTTTCCACTAGATGTTAGAACATTGCTACGGGGACTTTTTATTTTTTATTTTTAGGGGGTAGATCAGCTTTAATATTGCAGATAGATTGTAACTTCCATCAATGTAATTGTCTGCATCACTTCCAATCCCCCATATGTTTTCCCCCCACAAATATATACATACATACATACATACATACATACATACATACATACATACATACATACATACATACATACATACATACATACATACATACATACATACATACATACATATAAATACATATACATACATATACACTACCGTTCAAAAATGTGGGGTCACTTAGAAATGTCATTGTTTTCGAAAGAAAAGCAATTTTTTTGTCCATTAAAATAACATCAAATTGATCAGAAATACAGTATAGACATTGTTAATGTTGTAAATGGCTATTGTAGCTGGAAACTGCAGATTTTTAATGGAATATCTACATAGGCATACAGAGGCCCATTATCAGCAACCATCACTCCTTTGTTCATTTTAAAAGGCTTATTGATCATTAGAAAACCCTTTTGCATTTATGTTATTACAGCTGAAAACTGTTCGTGCTGATTAAAGAGGCATTATAACTGGCCTTCTTGAGACTAGTTGAGTATCTGGAGCATCAGCAATTGGGGGTTCGATTACAGGATCAAAATGGCCAGAAACAAATAACTTTCTTCTGAACCTCGTCAGTCTATGCTTGTTCTGAGAAATGAAGGCTATTCCATGCGAGAAATTGCCAAGAAACTGAAGATCTCGTACAACGCTGTGTACTACTCCCTTCACAGAACAGCGCAAACTGGCTCTAACCAGAATAGAAAGAGGAGTGGGAGGCCCCGGTGCACAACTGAGCAAGAGGACAAATACATTAGAGTGTCTAATTTGAGAAACAGACGCCTCATAGGTCCTCAACTGGCAGCTTCATTAAATAGTACCTGCAAAACACCAGTCTCAACATCAACAGTGAAGAGGCGACTCCGGGATGCTGACCTTCTAGGCAGAGTTGCAAAGAAAAAGCCATATCTCAGACTGGCCAATAAAAAGAAAAGATTAAGATAGGCAAAATAACACAGACACTGGACAGAGGAAGATTGGAAAAAAGTATTATGGACAGACTAATCGAAGTTTGAGGTGTTCGGATCACAAAGAAGAAAATTTTTGAGACGCAGACCAAATGAAAAGATGCTGGAGGAGTGCTTGATGCCATCTGTGAAGCATGGTGGAGGCAATGTGATGGTCTGGGGGTGCTTTGGTGGTGGTAAAGTGGGAGATTTGTACAGGGTAAAAGGGATCTTGAAGAAGGAAGGCTATCACTCCATTTTGCAACGCCATGCCATACCCTGTGGACGGTGCTTGATTGGAGCCAATTTCCTCCTACAACAGGACAATGACCCAAAGCACAGCTCCAAACTATGCAATAACTATTTAGGGAAGAAGCAGTCAGCTGGTATTCTGTCTATAATGGAGTGGCCAGCACAGTCACCGGATCTCAACCCTATTGAGCTGTTGTGGGAGCAGCTTGACGTAAGAAGTGCCCATCAAGCCAATCCAACTTGTGGGAGGTGCTTCAGGAAGCATGGGGTGAAATCTCATCAGATTACCTCAACAAATTGACAACTAGAATGCCAAAGGTCTGCAAGGCTGTAATTGCTGCAAATGGAGGATTCTTTGACGAAAGCAAAGTTGGAAGGACACAATAATTATTTCTTTTAAAAATCATTATTTCTAACCTTGTCAATGACTACATTTCCTATGCATGTTGCTATATTTCCTATTCAAACTCATTTCATGTATGTTTTCATGGAAAACAAGGAAATTTCTAAGTGACCCCAAACTTTTGAACGGTAGTGTATATACACATATCCTTTTTTAAAATATATTTTCCTTTATTACTTTCCAACCCCACCACCCCTCCCCTAATTGGAGTAAACAGTATGAAAATGTATGCACTCACTAACTGTAAGTCGCTCTGGATAAGAGCATCTGCTAAATGACTAAAATGTAAAAAAAAATGTAAACTAGTGAACAACAACGCTTAAGCCTCTACGTCCAGCTTATACATACTACAGTGGGGGGAAAAAAGTATTTAGTACAGCCACCAATTGTGCAAGTTCTCCCACTTAAAAAGATGAGAGAGGCCTGTAATTGTCATCATAGGTACACGTCAACTATGACAGACAAATTGAGAATTTTTTTCTCCAGAAAATCACATTGTAGGATTTTTAATGAATTTATTTGCAAATTATGGTGGAAAATAAGTATTTGGTCACCTACAAACAAGCAAGATTTCTGGCTCTCACAGACCTGTAACTTCTTCTTTAAGAGGCTCCTCTGTCCTCCACTCGTTACCTGTATTAATGACACCTGTTTGAACTTGTTATCAGTATAAAAGACACCTGTCCACAACCTCAAACAGTCACACTCCAAACTCCACTATGGCCAAGACCAAAGAGCTGTCAAAGGACACCAGAAACAAAATTGTAGACCTGCACCAGGCTGGGAAGACTGAATCTGCAATAGATAAGCAGCTTGGTTTGAAGAAATCAACTGTGGGAGCAATTATTAGGAAATGGAAGACATACAAGACCACTGATAATCTCCCTCGATCTGGGGCTCCACGCAAGATCTCACCCCGTGGGGTCAAAATGATCACAAGAACGGTGAGCAAAAATCCCAGAACCACACGGGGGGGACCTAGAGAATGACCTGCAGAGAGCTGGGACCAAAGTAACAAAGCCTACCATCAGTAACACACTACGCTGCCAGGGACTCAAATCCTGCAGTGCCAGACGTGTCCCCCTGCTTAAGCCAGTACATGTCCAGGCACGTCTAAAGTTTGCTAGAGTGCATTTGGATGATCCAGAAGAGGATTGGGAGAATGTCATATGGTCAGATGAAACCAAAATATAACTTTTTGGTAAAAACTCAACTCGTCGTGTTTGGAGGACAAATAATGCTGAGTTGCATCCAAAGAACACCATACCTACTGTGAAGCATGGGGGTGGAAACATCATGCTTTGGGGCTGTTTTTCTGCAAAGGGACCAGGACAACTGATCCGTGTAAAGGAAAGAATGAATGGGGCCATGTATCGTGAGATTTTGAGTGAAAACCTCCTTCCATCAGCAAGGGCATTGAAGATGAAACGTGGCTGGGTCTTTCAGCATGACAATGATCCCAAACACACCGCCCAGGCAACGAAGGAGTGGCTTCGTAAGAAGCATTTCAAGGTCCTGGAGTGGCCTAGCCAGTCTCCAGATCTCAACCCCATAGAAAATCTTTGGAGGGAGTTGAAAGTCCGTGTTGCCCAGCGACAGCACCAAAACATCACTGCTCTAGAGGAGATCT